ATTCTAAAAGAAAGATTGAAGGCAGAAACATGAAATTCAGAAGATATGACAATTAGTTGGTGAAATTAACCGAATAACATCTTCTTTTAGAGTTAATTTTTTTTTCAAAAACTTACACTTTGGCCTCTCGCATTCAAAACATTCAGGCTCATTTGTATATGTGCTTCATACACAACATTCATCTGCGAAAAGGTGCCTTCAAAGAGATTGAAGACCGTTTGATAACTATTTCGTTTTTACATTTTGTATTGAGATATATATGAGAAAAGTATATGAGAGAAGGAGAGATGAAGGAGGGTGATGGGAGAGAGGGAAAGAAATAAAGAATGAACGAAAGAAGAATCTCGAAAGTGAAAACAATTCAACAAAGATTTTTTTTTTTCTTATACATCTTTGCTCATCATCCTTCATCCACTCTTCATTATGCATGAAATAAAAACATGATGCTTAAGTGGTTTTGTGAAGACTAATTGATTGTTTTGGTGCCAAATAGGGATTTTTATCACAATCGTCACTATGATTTGCGAAAAAATGTATTTTTACTCCTTTGTGTTTCAAATCGATTAATGTCTTTTATGAATGTTTGCGGCACAACAATCAGAGAGAACAATTTTATTGAAAACAAGATAAAGAACAAGATAAAAATATCAACAGTTTAATGAAACAAAATTTGAACAATGAATTGTAATGAACTTTTTTGAGCTTATAGAGGCTTGCAAACTTGTCATTTCTAATATTTGAACTTTAAACATCTCACCACAAATGAAGAAAAATACCACTAAACCGTAATATTAAGTGACAATTAAAACCATGTTAATTTTAACGATAAAACAAATGTTCATTTCCTAAGAAACATGGGTATTTCCCAAAGTGAGTGCCCAAAAAGAATATGTTAATACTTGATACCCTCATGTAGATGATGTCTAAAGTACCCATATCGCATGCTCACCTCACACAAGCCTCAAGGGAAAGAATTGGATGGTAAAACTTGTAATTATTTCTCAGCAGGAGGAGCATTATCATAAATCTGCTCACACTCCATTTCAAGCGGGAAAATTATATACCCGAAAGCTCAAAAGGCGTAGCCTGAAAGTTATAACAAACAAACGCCCACTCTATAACAAACTTCTTCAGGTCGTTGTTGATTTTTCAAGAACGTAGAGTGTTGGAGGAGAGAAAGAGAGAGTTAGAGAGAGAGAGAGAGAGAGGGAAAGCTAATAGAGAGAGAGAGAGAGAGAGAGTTAGAGGGAGAGCTAAAGCTGAAAACTTGAAACTTGAAGTGAGGCTTGCAAGAAGAAGAAGCAAAGGCCAAAGATTTTTGGGATGCATTCATTCTACGATCTTGGTTGCCCGATCAATCCGATTGTACCCTTTGTTACTCGAACAAACAATAACAAGTTATGTCTGCACCGATATAGGTCATGGATTTGGAACAAGAAATATCTTCATCAGCTTTTGTTACTCGAACAAACAATAACAAGAAGTTGAGGTTCATGGATAGGAAATATTTCCAACAAAGTCTCCGTTGTAGCCAAATGAGGAAAACAAATTACTGAATAATTGCTTTTTCTTTTTATCTCTAGATGAAAAAGAAGCAAAAGAAAATATGTTAACATCGCATGCGAAGGGCCTAATGAACATTCCTACACATGACACCTTGTACTTAAGTTATCATAATAAGTTAATACGAAATTTCTGTTGTAACATGCAGATAAAATGCACCCGAAGAAATGCACGGTATACGCTTTCCACCCATGGGAAAGCAAAGAAGGAAGAAGACCTGGAATCGTGATATGGGTCCCGAGTGCCATTGGAGAGCTCATCAGAACAGCAGGAGAGCAATTGAGTTTTCATCGAGTGGTTCCGGTATAATATTAACAGAAGAGGTAGGTAAATTCTTGATGTGGATTTGATAAATGATGGTCAGAAGTTGTATTTGGTCAGTAAGACCCATTTTACATAAACATTTTGGTCATTCCATAGTTTTATTTTGTATAGTCCTTGTATCATTTTGTAAAACATCTGCATTAGGTGTAAGCATAACCACTAAGATGCCTTGTTTTTGGGTTAATTTCCAACCGAGAACGAAAGAGTGAAATATAAAGGCAGCATTTGATTCTTTCGTTACTAAGTGAATTCTGAATTTTAAGAATCTAAGCCACTGTTGGATAAATGATCTTGTTGGTTTGGGATGAAAATGTAGTGGTATGGTTGGTTGTCCTCCGACAAACGAACCCAACCACATCAGCCGAGAGATTCTCACATGTCATTGGAAATATATTACTGAAATCTACGACGCTTGTCATGTGATAGTCAAGTGTGTTGTAAACTTGTAAGATGTTATCCCACAAACTAAAGGATTTTATGTCACTAAAATAACATATGATTTTGTACTACTACTAGTGTATACGATGAGAGAGAATAACTTAGGTGATGGATGCACGGGGTTTATAGCTCAATTGTTTAAGATAATTTATTCCTCTAATTGAGGATAAAAACTCTCTTGAACCTGCTATATTGTTTTAATGTCAGCACATCTCATAGATGATTGTAATATATTCAAATAGTGAACAATGATTGTAATATGTTCAAATAGTCATCATCTGTCAGTTAGTCACGGCATAATATCACTGATTTTAAGAGAATCTCTACCAACCGAGTTCCCAAGTTCAAGTCTTTCTTTAAATATTCTTTGCAAGCAAAAAAGTCACTAAAATCAACTTGTAATTTCTCAGAAACAATCAACGACGTACAAAAAAAGTTAATAGAAATTGGCCAAAACGACTATTTTTCAAATTATTGCATCATTATCAATTGAAACTACATATTATTACTTGACAGCTATAAGCGTCACTAAGAAGAATAAATACTCTATTAGTACATTCTTTGTTTCTTTTTCTACTAAGGATCCATTTGGGTGGCTTGAGATTTCAAATTACATAGAATTCTCCCAACTTGCTTACCGCGTGAATTCTCCCAACTTGCTTATCACGTTTGTCACTTGCTTGTTATGTCGTTAAATTGACTTAAAAATAACTCAACTTTTCACTGCACTCTTCGCTATAAATTTAGCCAAACATGATACCACATAATTTCCAAGTTAAGCTGTTCTTTAACTCTTTACTATCTAAGCTATGAATATTAGACAAGCTGCAATTATATGCTCCTCTCTTCCCCTTGTTGGCACTCTTGTTCGCCTCTTTTTCTCGTCTCTGCAAGATGCGCTTTTGATTTCTGGAGACAATGTGAAGAAAGAAGCTGATGATCGAAATGTTGTTATTGCTTCAGATCCAAGTAACGCAACAGCCCAGATGCACTTCCGGCAACTTCAGCACTTAAGAACAGCTTGATCATAATGTTGTTGAGTGCTCGTACTAGTCAAGGGTACGATTTTTAGGGAAGATCTCTTCTTTTTGTGTTTTACTTGTTCATGCTTATAACGCGTAGATTAGTAACAATTTCCTACAAATTAGAATCAATCAGTGGTTCTAAAAAGCTGGGGAAATTTTATGCATGGTATAAAGGGTGGTTTATATTTTAATATCTGAAGTTAAGGCAAAAACAAAATGAAGAGAAAAAAACATGTGTGGAAGGAATTTGACTCACTTGAGTTGGGGATCTTCGGTGATCATTTGACCATGGTTCAGAATTGGAGGTTACAGTGCTAATATTTCATGCTCAAGTCCTATTTTTTTTACTCACCTTATATTCACACACTGAACGAATTCTAAAAGAAAGATTGAAGGGAGAAACATGAAATTCAAAAGATAGGACAATTAGTTGGTGAAATTAACCTAATAACATCTTCACTTAGAATTCATTTTTTTTTTTTAACGTACACACTTTGGCCCCTCGTGTTCAAAACATTCAGGCTCATTTGAATATGTGCTTCATACACAACATTCATTTGCAAAAAGTTGCTCTTCAAAGAGATTGAAGACTGTTTGATAACTATTTCATTTTTGCATTTTGTATTGAGATATATATGAGAAAAGTATACGGGATAAAAGTATACGGGATAAAAGTATATAAGAAAAAGTATATAGCAGAAATGAGAGATGAAGGAGGGTGATGGTAGAGAGGGAAAGAGATAAAGAATGAACAAAAACAGAATCTCCCAAAAGTGAAAACAATTCAACAAAGTTTTTTTGGATTTTTAACTTTAGTTTTCATTATATGCACCTTTCCCTTTACATTTCTTATACATCTCTGCTCATCATCCTTCATCCACTCTTCTTTATGCATGAAATAAAAACATGATGTTGAAGTGGTTTCGTGAAGACCAATTGAATGTTTTGGTGCCAAATAGGGATTTTAATCACAATCGTCACTATGATTTGCGAAAAATGTACGTTTAGTTCTTTGTGTTTCAAATCGATTAATGTCTTTTATGAATGTTGGTGGAACAACAATCAGAGCGAACAATTTTGTTGAAAACAAAATAAAGAACACTATACAAGATAAAAATATAAACAGTTTAATAAAATGAAATTCGAACAATGAATTTGTAATGAACTAACATTTTTGTGCATGTAGAGGCTTGCAGACTCGTTATTTTTTATATTTGAACTTCAGACATCTTGTCATAAATGAAGAAGAATGCTATTAAACCGTAATATTAAATGACAACTTATAAACATGGGTATTTCCCAAAGTGAGTGCCCAAAAAGCATCTGTTCATACTTGATACCCTCTTGCGGATGATGTCTAGAATACCTAAATGACTAAAATACCCATATCAGATGATCCCTCACACAAGCATCAAAGGAAAGAATGGGCTGGTAAAACTTGTAATTATTTCTCAGTAGGAGGAGCATTATTGTAAATCTGCTCACACTCCATTTCGAGCGGGAAAATTGTTTACCGAGAGCTCAGAAGGCAGGGCCTGAAAGTTGTAACAGAAAAACACCCCCTCTATAACAAACTTCTTCAGGTCGTTATTAATTTTTCAAGAACGCAGAATCTTGGGGGAGAGAGAAGGAGAGAGTTAGAGAGAGAGTTAGAGAGAGAGGGAGAGCTAAAGCTGGAAGCTTGAAACTTGAAGTGATCACCATGTCAATCCCAATCCTTGAAGCTTGCAGGAAGAAGAAGCGAAGGCCAAAGATTTTCGGGTTGCAAACATTCTGCGATCCCGGTTGCCCGATCAGTCTGATTGGTCCGTTTCGCGATAACGTTCGAGTCTTCCTTCAAGAATGTGCCGAGCGTGAAGATTACACTGTGCGGGGAATGCCGATTTGGTGCACTCTTCTTGTGCACGACAATAGAAGCTTGGTTGTCCCTCTTTACACCATTGAAGAGGACGTCAAGACCTCTGAAGAACCCTTCTGTGACCAATGCCGATGCACAGGTTAAAACCCCAATTTCTTTTTCGTATAATTTGATCGTTTCTTTGATTTCTGAATTGGGTTTCTGCAAACTTCTGTTTAGGGTCAGGAATTGGTCGTTGGTGTTCCAAGATTTGCTTATATTTCTTCAATTCCTTGTTTCTTTCAAGTGGGTTTGGCTAAAGATTTCGACTTTCTCTGTTGAATTGTGATTTTTTCTTTGATTTCTGAATTGGGTTTTTCTTTCTTCAAGTGGGGTCTGCTATAGAACTCGAATTTGTGTACTGTAATGTGATCGTTTCTTTGATTTCTCGATTGGGTTTCTTGAGTTCTTTGTCTTAGAGCTATAAATTGGTCAAATTTGTTTTAAGAATTGCTTATCTTTAGCTTTGTTCCCCGGTTTTCCGATTGGGGTTCTGCTACTTTGATGTTGAAAAGTTTGGTTGAAAAATTTGATGCTGGTTGCTGGACGTAGTTGTTGGATTCTGCAGAATGGTGAATGCAGAACCTGGACCATTTCTAACTTCTTCCTTCTTGGAAAGGAAGATAAGTTAGAAAATTTGTCTCCCTATATACTCTAGAAACAATTCCTAATTCTGTCATTTCACCATGTTAATTGAGTTATATTTTTCCTAAAAACCAATGCCATGACTTATAGATTTCTTATCCAAGTAGGGGGATTGTCGTGGTTAATGTAAGTCAAATTGAGCGTATTAGTAACTAAATGAACTTACAATGTAAGTCAAATTGAGCGTATTAGTAACTAAATGAACTTACTACTTTCTTTAGCTTTGTGCCTTGGTTTTCCAAGTGGGGTTTTTGGTACTTTGCTGTTGGATTTTGGAATTGGATGTTGGTTAAAGTTTATGGTTGAAAAACTTGATGTTTGTTGCTAGATGTAGGTGGAATCTGCGGAATGCAGAACCTGGAAAATGTCTACACACTTTCCTTCTTGGAAAGTAACCTAAGTTAGACAATTGGTTTCCCACCCTATAATAATTCTTAATTCTGTCGTTCCGTTATGGTAATTGAGTTGCAGTTCCCTTTCCTAGAAACGAATGCAATGACATTGATTTCTTTATCCAAGTAGAGTATTATTACAATTAAATTAAATGTACTAGTAACTAAACGAACAACTTGCTGCTTGGCGGGCTGTTCTTAAACGGGAAATCATGAAGACAACAATTTAGCTTTGTTCCTCAGTTTTTCGATTGGGGTTTCTACTACTTTGGTGTTCAATTTGGATATTTGTTGAAATTTTTTATGTTGGTTGCTGGATGTAGTTATTGGATTCTGCAGAATGCATAATCTGGAAAATTTGTAACTCCTTCCTTCTTGGAAAGGAACCAAAGTTAGAAAATTGGTTATGGATTTCTCAGACAAGTAGAGTATTGTTAGGGTTAATATAAGTCAAACGAATGTACTAGTAACTAAATGACCAACGTGCTACTTATCTTTAGCTGTGTTCCTCAGTTTTCGAGTGGGGTTACTGCTACTTTGGTGTTGGATTTTGGAATTGGATGTTGGTTGAATATAGCATAGCAAGTTGCTGGATTAAATTGTTGGAATGCAGAATTCAGAAAATTTGTAACTCTTCCTTTTTGGAATGGAACCATAGAAAATTTGTAACTCTTCCCTAATTCTGTCGTTTGATTTCTTTAACTGAGTAGAGGATTTTTACCGTTAGTATAACTCCAATCTAATGTACTACTAATTAACACAGAAATGGCTACTAGGCTGGCTTTTCCCTAAACAAGAAATCATGAAAGGAAAATAATTTAGCTTCTCAGGTCTGCTAGTTGATTGTGCTGTACCAGTGTCATACCAGCTTCTGAGTTCTGCAATCATACCATGTTGTGTTTGTTTAGGTTGGAGCAATCACTTTGTATCGAAGAGAAAGTACCATATGATAATCCCAGTGGAGGATGAGTGGCATAAGCCTCTGGATAATGGTATCCTCAATCTTCCTACTCATCTCTTGCATGGCTTAATCCACTGTAATGGGTTTGCTCACTTGGTCTGCATCAATGGACTCGAAGGGGGTTCTAAGCATCTCTATGGCAGAGAGATCATGGATCTTTGGGACAGAATTTGCACTAATCTTCGAACCAGGTAACCCCACATTTCTTGATTTTGAAATTACATTATTGAAATCAGTGACTTGGTTTTGATATTTTCTTCCCTTTGCCAGGAAAATCTCGGTTGAGGATGCCTCTAAGAAACGTTCAATGGATCTACGCCTTCTTCATGGTGTTGCTTATGGACATTCTTGGTTTGGTAGATGGGGTTACCGATTCTGCCATGGCAGTTTCGGTGTGACAGCACACAATTATGAACGAGCAATAGAGATTCTCAGCTCTTTAGCACTTGAAAGGATCCTCCAAGATTTTATTGACATGGACGGGTGCGAAGAACTGAAACAGATAATCCGCTACTACAGAAATTTGAGTGAAACAAAATTGGTCACAATTAAGGATCTTCTCCGGTTTATGCTAACTGTCAAGTCCAGTGTTCCTGGACAGAAGAAGTCATTAATGGGTCCTGCTGAAGTTTCATCCTTCGTTGTAAAATCTGCAACCAAGGCGACTCTCCAGGTCAAGCCCTCAATGAAGGAAAAGTCTGCAAAGTGCAGGAAGTTCAGTACCATTCTTGCTCACATGGATAGCAGATGGCCTACAAGAAGACTAGAGTTTGCAGCAGATGTGATTGTGAATGCATTGCAAGAAAAGAAAGAGAGTGGTCATGGTGGGATGACCCGGCAAGATGTGCGAGATGCAGCTCGCTTACATATTGGAGATACTGGCCTTTTGGATTATGTGCTGAAATCAATGAATAATGTGATAGTTGGGAATCACATTGTGTGTCGTGCAGTGAACCCAGCAACTCGGATTTTGGAGTATACAGTTCATGATCTTGCAGATGGGGTTAAGGTCTCGGAACCTGGGAAAGAGATAGTTGCTCAGTCTTTTCAATCAGCAACTCTATTTCCTGGAGTTGATGTATACAATGATGTGCTTTATCTATATGAGCACGTGCTGTTGGGATACCCAGAATCAGAGCTAGTGGATTTGGCTACTCGAGCAGTATTGGACGCCAAGCACTTCGTGAAGGAATGTCCATTTCGGGATGATGAAGAGCAGTGGTTGACATTCTTTTGCCAACTCTTGCCCAGCTCGACTGATAAGGAAATCGAATTCAAGAGGGGGATGCCGCCTGGTGAAGTAGTAGTTATGCCACTGCATGCAACAATTGGAGAGCTAAAGCGAGCAGCTGAGAGTGCACTGAGAGATACTTATTGTATCACAGAACAGTTTGTGGTCATGGGAATCGAAGGCTTAGAAGAAATGGATGATATGGAAGTACTTTTTGGAGTAGCTGAATCGGGAGCAGAAGTTGGTGTGAGAGGAAGCGGGATAGATTTAGACACGCCACTGAGGTATGAAGGCGGATCAGACACTTGGATGGTGAGATGTGAGTGCGGGGCTAGAGATGATGACGGGGAGAGGATGGTGGCATGTGACATCTGCGAAGTGTGGCAACATACACGCTGCTGTGGAATTGAGGATGCTGACACTGTTCCACCGCTGTTTGTGTGCTCTGCCTGTTGTGTTTCGCTGGTGCCTCCTAGAATTGAACCCTGTCTCAGGTTCGACTGCTCTGATGCTTTTTCCATTTGCTGCAGACACTGAACAAGGACTGGGATTGGGGTTGGGGTACTAATGCAAATGATTTGTGCTGATTACTAGCAGCCTAGGAATGACAATGCATAAAGATTTGCGAATATTCTTGTTCCTTCGATAATAGTAACTGTAAATGTCATACTGGAATTCAGTCTTTCAGACAGATAAGTGAACTAATAAAGAAATGTTCAGAGTCTTGCTCATCTATCCGTCTCTCTCTGTCTCTCTGTCTCTCTTTCTCTCTCACTAACTCACACACACGCACAGTTGCATGCTCTGGCGACTGCTGCAACATGATAAAATGCAGAATGATGTTCCGATGGCATGCTTGAAGTTCTTTGAGAAACCTTGCATCCTGACTTAATATGAGAGAGTGAAGAAAGACCTGAAGAACAAGAAGCAGGCTTTACTCAGAAAATTTAGTGTTTAATTACTGAAATGACCACAAAGAGTGAGTACTTTCGTTTTTAAGTATCAAGCAAGTGAACTGACCTAAGGCTTTAGAAAAGGGGGGCTCTGGAGGGTTTTCCCTTTCTTTTGGATAAACTTCTTTCAGGTTTCGGAACTCTCTTATGCTGCTTAGAAGGCTGGATGAAAAGAAATGGAGGAACTGAAGCACTGGCCTTTGTTGAAAATGCTTTGACCTGAAGTTTTAGGCGGCAACTTTAGACAAATTCAACTGAAGGAAAAATGAAATCAGTATAAATTTAAATATAAAATGTAATGCAGTCAGAGAATTTCCTTGCAAATAATACTGCAATATCGATTGACATCTGGTTCGAGTAGTCTTCTTTTACAAATCTCACAGCAACCTTCATTTTTGTCCGAGTCATTTTTTGATTTAGAGCAGGGAAGTGGAGTCTGAGATAGAACCAATTGTTTGTTGGATCTATATGGCTGAAAAACCGACGAAAAAAGAAGAAACAGATGAAAAAGGAAAACACATTAAAGAATTCGGTAAGAAGGAAAACACATTAAAGACTGTAGTAAAGAAGGAAAACACATGAATGAATTAATGTACCTGAATTTGGGAACAATCAATATGCTTTTTCATGGCATCAAGTGCGACAGCACCCTGATAGACATATCGGTAAATTTTCAACGTTTGGTGATAGCGATGATAACCCAACGCAATGCAGTACTGGCAGGCTGCTGTGTTACAATCAACACAGTATATGTTCCTTTCATTCTTGGGTATATTATGATCTGGACAGTTATCGAAAAAGATTATTTTTACAAATGAATCGAGCCATTTGGGCTTTTGATTTCCATTCTGAACTTCCTGTTTGCTTAAAATTTGTTCCCTCATCAAGTTTCCATCCCTTGAGCCGCTTGAAACGTCAACTACTTCCCTGCTTTCATTAAGAAAACAGTTTACCTACAAAACAAGGTTTTGGGACGAAAAGCATTGTCAGGCAAAGACACAGCTGCAACATCTTTTGTCATCAATGCCTCGATTGCTCACTGGCATTGCAAAAGAAGAGCAACAATCAGATTTTCCACCCTAGAGTGTCAGGATGTGGGTGAAGACACTTCATCCATTTACGACGAGAGGTCTCATTCACCCTTAATAAAGTATGAAGTTACTTAATGCAAAATGCAACAAAAATAGAGACAACGAGACAATGGTACAAACCACAGCAACCAAAATGAAAAACTAACCAAAAAGATACGAAGGAAGCCCGGGTCATCACTAGGCAACAGTAGCAAGAGCACAACATGAGGGACATCATGCCAAACCATGAAGCACCTAAAATCAAATTGATTATATAGTAAACGACATTACTACTCTTGCTATTAACATGGTAGATCCAGAATTTGTCCGAGGGGTCGACATACATGTAAAATTTCACAAAATTATTTACGTTAGTTGTACTATAGTACTGTCAATCTATGATCCCAAAAATTGACATACAGCAATAGAATGAAGTATGCATCCCAAGATATAAAAATCGCGGCCAAGATATGAACTAAAAGTTCTGGAGGGAAAAAATTTTTGTTTCATCACCAAAGGAGTGATATGTCATCAAGTATTGTTAGAGTGAAATCGCTTTCTATCAATGAAAATAATTATAGCAACAATTATGCGTTTAGGGACTACTATTGGCACTCCACCAAAAAGGCCACTGAAGTCAACAAGGGTCCCGGCTTTGCAAGAGTTGTGGGAGGAACGTCTATCGTAGCAACTTTACCCTTGTTTAGCAAAGATGTTGTTTTCATGACTCAAACTCTTGACCTTTTGGTTACAAAGGAGCAACATATTTCTTTTGCGCCAAGGTTTGCCCACTACTATTGGCACTCTACCATAGGGAAATTTTTATTTTTTATTTGTTATTTTTTTTAGTTTGGGAGTTAATGTTGGCTTTTCTTGAGTGTTAATAACAATTTCCTACCTTTTTTTTTAAGAAAACATCGACGGAATAACAATTTCCTACTTTGTAATAGTCAAATAAGTGTTTCAAATATTCATGAAAAAATTATAACCCATTTGCATCGGTATATATTATGTGCTAATTAACCAAACTCTTCAGCACTTACTTGTCCCCACTTATGATTAATTTATCTTCACCGTACAAAATCATATGATAAGAACTGTTCACTCTCTTTATCATCAACTAAAGATCATATCTCTAAAATGAATATTTTTGCAGATGCAATTTTTAGATGATGAAAAAGAGAATGAACGGTTCTAATTATGATATTTGTACGGTGAAGATAGATTAATCATAAGTGGTAGGACAAGTGGTTCTCCCAATAGCCAATAGGAGAACATAAGTATTAACCTTACAACAAAAAGGTGGATGCATTATCGTGCTATATTTTGGCGAAAACAAAGTTGTCTAAAAAATCATTAGTTCTTAATAAACTCTACTTCTAGAGATAAGTAAGAACCTTAAATCATCTAAAGTCTAACTTAAGATCTCTCAAGAACTCTCTTAATGGTCAAATTAGTTGCCATTTGGGTATAAACCTAAGAGTAGTAGGCTTAGAGCTTGAATGATGTTGTAGCTTCAATGGTGGATGATTGGGGTATTTATAACGATGATTGGAGGGTCCTTATAGGGGTTGTAAACCCCAACCCGGGTGTAATCCAATTACAAGAGGAAATCTAGGAAGATTTCTCCTTATTTGATTTGAGTTTGGATTACTTGGAGTGCGATCCAAGTCACATTCAATGGGTCTAAGTTGCACAATTCTAAAACTAACGGCTAATTCGAACCTGAAAAAACTTAATGACACTGAATGTGGTGCTGAAGAACTAAAGAAAGATGGAATCTATCATTTGAGTAGTAACACTAATTATTAGGTGTGCTTCTTGGTCTTGAGTTTGAGGCATGAAGTTAGTAAAAATATGAGTGATTTTTTGGTTGAAGGCTTTGGAAAGACCTGTGTCATTTGATTGTCGCCTATGTTAGGTTGAAAAGCCTTTAGCCTTTCTAAGCCTCACTGAAATTTGTTCTACCCTTCTAGGCACAAGATACCTCAAGCTTCGGCGAAAAAAAAAGAAGAGAAAAGAATGGTAACACTCATTATGATTGTTTTATTTTGTTCTAGACTTGAAAGATATGAACATAGCTTCTCATCCTCCTCTCATCCTTTTCTGAAGTCTGATTAGATTTGGTTGAAACTATAAGTCTTCTAGGTAAATGTTGTTAGGATGCATGTATGTAGCAAATCTTTTGGTAATAATGCGGACATAATTCTAAAAAAAACGTTGTATAGCCGAGTAAAGAACTGGTCTGCCTAGGCCTTCTATTGGAAATCAAGAGATTTAAAGATATTGAAATCATGATTTTTGAAGAAAGGAATTAAATTATGTAGAAATTAAAGGACATGAATCAAAGTCTCTTAAAAATAAAATATTTAGGTTTAACGCTATGCTTTTTAATCATCCGTCCTTTGTGACCACAATTTGTTCACTCAGATTGTCTGGATATTGACGTCATCTATCATATCCCATTTCGGCTGGCCATGATTTGGCCCGGATAAAGATTGTGTGGAGAAATCTCACTTATCCAGTTGAAGCTGAATAAATTGGGGTATGACACTATGCTTTTTAATCTTCTTTCCTTTTTGTGACCACAGTTTGTTCACTCAGATTGTCTGCATATTGACATGATCTATCATCCCATTTTGGCTAGACATGATTTGACCCGGTGGAAGATTGTTTGGAGAAATCTGACTTGTCCAGTCGAAGTTGAATAAATTGAGGTACGACACTATGTTTTTTTTAATCATCCTTCCTTTTTGTGACAATAATCCGTTCAGTTAGATTGTCTGCACATTAACATCATCTCTCATACCCCATTTCGGCTGGCCATGATTTGGCCCGGCTGAAGATTGTTTGGAGAAATCTGACTTATCCAGCTGAAGCTGGAATAAATTGAGGTCTGACACTATGCTTTTTAATCTTTCCTCCTTTTTGTGACTACAGTCTGTTCACACAGATTGTCAGCACATTGACGTCGTCTATCATTCGGCTGGCCATGATTTGGCATGACTGAAGCTTGTTTGGAAAAAACAAACTTACTCAACTGAAACTGAATAAATTGAGGTCTAACATCATGTTTCTCATATTCCCCCATTTTGTGACCAGAGTCTGTTCGCTCAGATTGTCTGCACAATTATGTCATATATTATGTAGATTTCTTTCCAAAATTTGACTCTTAGGCCCTGTTTGGTACGCCGTATATAGTACCAGATAGGACTATTAATACAGAAACGGGTGTTTGGCGCTCTCTCATATTAAATTGGACCGGACTAATTTAATCTGATCCACTTATTTTATACGGCATATACCCTCTTAGCAAACCAGTCCAAAATAGGCGTATTAATTAGTCGGCTCCCTTTCTTCTCTCTTGCGCGAACTGGGCACTCTCCCTTGCCGTCCCCGCCGCTTGCTTCATCTCCTTCTCTCGCCAGCTGTGTTCTCCCCGTCTCATCTGGCAAGCTCTGTTCTCTCCATCTCCTCTTGGTGGCTCTATTCTCCCTATCACCTTTGTTATTTGATAACACCCACAAAGAGACGACTCGCACCACCACCGCGCAAATTCGGAATGATTTCATCTGGGTTTTAGAACCTTGATTGGGAATCGATAATAGGATTTGAAAATTCGGAAGGGTTTCATATGAGTTTTACGATTCAGAAAGATTTCTTCTGGA